TAGAGCTTTGCATGGCCCATTAGCGGCATGTCAACAGCTTATATAATACAAAACCAAAGCAGTGTTTTACTATGTTACCAAAAACAACCAGATGTGGTGACAGAAACAGCTGATACCACAGCTACTCTCCAACCTCAACCATGCATTAATGTTACAAAACCCTGAAAGACTGTTGGATTTGCAATTCAGTTTTGTTGTTTTATTTTATTGCACTCCTTTAAAAGAGGTTGTTAGTCAGAAGACAGTAAACAATATTCTGAAAATATTAGCCCCAAACAGGGTCTCATTCACAGTTTATTGAATATGTTAGAAAATGTAACCACCTTTTTTTACTGCCTGTAAGGTTTTACAGGACGAACTCAACAGGAAAATCTTGGACAGCTTGCTGGACTTCACGAGGAAGTGCTCCTCCACTCGCCAACACAGTGACTGGGCATCACAGATGAGGGCCAGTGAGATTCCCACAGCGGCTCTTGTGCTCGGTATGCTGACAACATTCATTGACGTAGAGTACAATCGAAACGAACCATCTCCACTCTCTTTACGTTCATCAATCGTCTTACGGGTTGCCTTTTCTGACTTTGTGTCCTACGTCTTCCATAGGTGTGAATGTCCCGGACCATGACATGACCTTCCAGAGTCTGTCTGAACTGCTGCAGCAGTCTGTCACTCCTCACGTTGCCTCTGTACAGGCCAAAGAGTGTGGAGGTGAGGGACTCCTTGCATTGCCTTTGATTTTAAAACGTGTCCCTTTTTGTATCTGTCATATACTCTCACTACAGTCTTTATATTGTCTGCTTTTGTCCTTTCAGCGTTGAAACATTTGATGAAGAGGGTCCTGGAGAGGCTGATGGATACTATTGTGACTGTGGATGATGATGAGGAGGAAGAGGAAACTGAGCAGACCAGTACTCAGCTCCACAAGAGCGTGCACTGCTCCCTCAGTACACTCTGTGATTGGTACAATACAAAAACAATGGTGGGACCATAAAGCGTTGTTTGTGTACGTGGTTTTACATTTGCGGTTGCATAAAAAGAGTTTGATGACATGAACGCACTTTTTGACCTGAATTTCAGAAATCCAAAACTGGCACTCCTGGAAAAAAGCGTAGTTCTCCTGTCAGAGATGATCCCCAGCAGCCTCCTGTTGTAATCATTTTCAAAGATTTGGAGGCTTTCAACCCAAAAGTTCTTCAGGACTTCATACTCATCTGCAGGTAAGACTTAAACAATTTAACAGCGTCCTTCAGCCTTCTCCTGTTTTAGCCAATTTCCCCTACTCCTAAACTAGTGTTATACCAAGTGACCTGCTGAGAAAAAGGTCATCTACCACCTTGTAATATCGGCTCTAAATGGCTGAACTCTTGACAGAGCTCACAGTTTTGATTCAGTTCAAATGTTAAAACAGTATCTCCGTGTATATTTCCTCTACACAGCCGATACGTTGAACGTCTTCCGCTGATGTTCATCTTTGGAATCGCCACGTCACCCAGCACCATCCAACACATGCTGCCCCACTCTGTGTCCTCCCTCCTGTGCATAGAGCTCTTCCAGTCCCTCTCTTGTACACAGCACTTGGCCACAGTCATAGACAAGGTGGTTTTCACTGTCACGGCTAATTTCTAACTGTATAGTTTCTGTTTTATACTTATATTCTATTCTTATTTTATACACATCTAATTATTTAAGTTTATCTATTTATCTGTATGTATTATTTCCTTGTGCTGCTGTAACACCTGAATGTTCCCTCTGGGCCCCCATCAATACCGAAGGATCATATCTTAAGTCTTATACCTTAATTAAAGAATGCGTTCAAATGAATCCTGTTCATTGTATTTTTTGTGTTTGTTTCCAGTTGATCCTGACACCTCAGTTCCCTTTTAAGCTCAACGGTAAAGTGATGCAAGTGCTGATCAGCATCTTCCTCTACCACGATTTCTCAGTGAGAAACTTCATCAAGGGCGTTCAGGTACAGTGTAGCTTGAAAATACTTTTATCCATTATGTATCTCTCTGTCTGTAGATGGCATTCAGATATGTGGTAAACACACTCTCTGCTTTGTCTTGGTGCAGCTGGCCTTGCTGGAGCACTTTCACTCTCAGCCTCTCAGTGTACTGTGCTGTAAGAAAAAGGAGGCTCTGCTTAATGTGATGCAGCTCAGTCACCATGACTTGGAGAAGATAAGGCTTCTGCTGTCCTTCAGGAGGTACAAACGCACACAATGTGCTTTTCACACATGCAATAACTCACTCTCCACTTCTAAATAAAGTTCATCTGTTGGCAGACAAAAGTGGCTGAAATTAGTGACTTAAATCAAGTCTAACCTGTGTGTTTTTCCCAGGTATGTAGAGAAGCAGGAACCTCAGGAACAACTGAATCTGTGTACAGATGACACTCATTTAAAGGTGCGTTCTCTACACCCGAGGCAGCGGCCAACAATGAGTGCACACAGGTGGACAGAATGTATGTTTTTTTTTGTTCCTGTTTTTAGGAGGTGTGTCAGAAGCTGATAAAAGACCTTCGCAAATACCACAAGAACTATTATCCCGTCCTGAGGTGTCTCCACACTCTGACCTCATCTTTACCTCGGTACCCGCTCGGAAAACAGGCAAGAAATGACTGCTTTACAACTGTCCAAAACCCAAATTTAAAAACACATGTTGAGTGTAAGATTATTTTCCAACTTGGCTTGATGTAACACTGAATTATCTGTGTGATAAGGTCAGAGAGCTCCATTTAATTTGTCTGGAGAAGAATGTATGGGAGAATGAAGATTACCAGACAGCCGTGAAGCTTCTAAAGTAAGTCTGGACAATAAAATCTTAAAATATCTCAATAACAGAAACTTGATTCTTGCCCACTGTTTGAACATAATCCTAAAATCTAATTTGTAGTAATATGCAGTAAGTCTTACAAGTATGTACTTTAGTCAAATTTATTTACACATTTTACCACCAGATGGCAACATATTCAGGGATGTTCGGAGCATTGTGCTTCGTCTGTTGGCTAAATAGTCATGAACATACAGTAAAATAGCATTGTACCTTTGTTGGGTTTTTATTGTGGAGCTCCCCTGAACAAACCAGACTTTAGTCCAACAGAAACACAGTCTGAAGTTAGTCACTTGGGATGCCACTGTACCATTCAGCAGTAAACCTCAACCGTGGTTTCCCTTCAGGATGCTGGCTAAAGACGAGCTGATTGCTTCGCTACAGAGGTGTGTGGAGATTCTGCAGCCTGTCAAGTCAAAAAAGATGAAGAAGGCTCTTGTCGAGCTGGAAGAGCTGCTCGCCAAATTCAAGCAGTTGGATAGTAAGTAGTGAAAATAAAAAGTAATGTCATGTGGGTACTACAGATTCTTACTTTCCCATTTTGACCTGGGGATTGTCTCTTTTCTCAAATAACTCTTACTGTTGGTGGAATAAGCAATGGGAATCTACCGCATACACAGCACTCCTTGAATTCTTGTCCTTTGTCTTGTTCTTAACAGCAGTCGCTGCTGAAACTCTCCCCTGTGTGGAAGATTGTATCACCTCTCCAGTGAAAAATCTTCAAAAGAAAACGGATCTCTTCCAGCTGCAGAAGGTTTTTATGGATTTATGAAGAGGGTTATCTGCAGCATTTCTGTGAAGAGATTCTCCACCCTGCCGAGGTGTTGTAATACTTTGATTCATAAATTGTCTGCTTATTTTTATTTACTCTAGACGCTGCTGGAGATGAACGAGTCTCGGAGAGCCAGGAAACTGAGTCCTTTCGAGGTTCTGCGAAATGAAGCTCTCGAGTTTATCGACGGCTTAGTGAAGTAAGACGCGTTACCTCTTTGCTCTACTGAAAATTGTGCTGCAACGATTTTTAAATAAAGTAAATTCTTCTTGAGCTTACATCACTCTCGCACCTAGGAGTCACCTGTCTCCCCCTGAGTCCCAGACACTGAATGAGGTTTGCTACTACAGTTCTTCTGCCACTGTGAGACGCCACCTCAATGCAACACCTCGTACCTCCATACAGGCTGCGCTCAGCAGTCCCTACTATTATCTTCAGGTACATCGGCCGAGTATTATCAAGTGTGTAACTCTTAACACCAGGAGAGACTGAAAGCAATGAAAGTGTGTAACTATAGTGATGTTTAAAGAGTGTGATCAGCTTAAATCTTTGGAAAAATCTCTGACTTGTAGAATGAGAGCCTAAAGACTGAGGATGGCACCGTCTCTAATGCTGCTCCGGATATCTGTATTGCATACAAACTCCATCTGGAGTGCGGCAGGCTGATTAACCTCTACGACTGGCTAGAAGTGAGTATATATAGTGAACAATTTGGCTAATCATGTATGCCACTTTTCAACTTTGCCCTACAAACTGTGATGGTTGGGAAGTTTGTTTTTCATTCTATAGAGGAGGCTTTATTGATCCTAAAGCATCAATATGACACATTATTGACTTAAACATCAAACATTGGCTTGTTTTGTTTTCAGGCCTACGCTACTGTGGTTTCTGCTGCTGAGGGTAACAATCCAGATTCTGACGATGTCAGGAAAGTGGAGGAAGTCAAACAGTATCCTTCTGTAACTTTAATCCACTAACATGTTTTTCCTATCACACTGTTCCACCATTTTAATACTTGGAAACGGACGAGATAAAAGTTTTATGGCAGATGAGGCGGGTGGAGTGATTTTATAAAAAAAGATGTTACTTTTGGCTACAGCATAATCCACAAGAAAGACATTTTGTTCCTTAGCGTGTTTTCTAGTGCCCGTTTCATCCAAGCTGTGTCCGAGCTCGAATTTCTGGGCTTCATCAAGTCCACCAAGCAGAAGACCGACCACGTGGCTCGACTCACCTGGGGAGGCTGCTGACCGAGCCGAAAGAAACCAAACGTACTTCTTTACGTACATCTGTGGCTGCCGCCTCCCTTCATTTAAGCTCTTATCAAATTTAACTTGGATTTATATTTTGTGCTGTATTTTTTCCCACAAATAAAATATGTGAGTAGTGTCTGATAATCATGGACATGTTTATTTTTTTATTCATAGCTGTGTATTAAGGAAAAACATACACATACTGTACCCCTATCATGAGAGAGTACAATCAGATGCTGGATGTTCCAACAAACATTTGTAGTTGTATCTGCAGCGATAAGAATGTCTGGTTGAGCCAATATGTTGCTATACTGAAGGCACAGCTCAAATACAGATGCATAGTATACAGTTAATTCAAAGAAACCAATAAAGCCAGGATTTTTTTTTCATAAAATACAATGAATAAAGAAAAAATAAACAAGGGTACACAAGCTTTGCAGGAGTCATAGTTGACATCAGGTTTGGGGGCAATAATTCACCAAAGTACCATCTTCAGGGAAAAGCCTGCGACCTCGACAATTCTTTGAGAGGATCAGGATTTCTTGGTCTAACTGACTTTACTCGAGCCAAGAGTGTTGTTTTTTTAAATACTTAAGGATATTAGTTCATCATAACAGTACAATAGAAACGTCTTAACATGCATCAGAACAGTTCTCAACTCTTAAAAGATTTTTATTGTTTTGTCCAATAAGTACATTGGTTTCAAAGTTATACCAGTAAAACAAAAAGAGTCAAAAATAAATAAAACACTGGTAGGGAGAACAAAAAAAAAAAAAAAAGTCAAATTTAACCCACTTTATGCTGAATTTAAAAAGCAATGAACAGAGGACAAACTGCAAACATATTCTCTCTGTTCAACTGTGTTTCTTCCCCTTTCTCTCAGATTGACCAGCAAACCTTAGTAAAACTGCACTGCTTTATCATATTTACATGTAACAAACAAGAAAACAAGTGACAAAGCCTGGAATGCTGGGAATCATTACAAAAGTGAGATAACTGTAGATACACGTACAGCAGGAGGAACATAGGCCACTGGTAGAGATAGGGTCCATTAATTTACATTAGGAAGCACCTTGTTGCTTACAACAGAGTGGTAACAACTGACAACAGCTCCATATAAACCTTTGCCCAAAGACAGAAATATGGCACAGTAAGAAAAGTTTCATTTAAACTAGCTAAACTGAATCTCTTACAATGATGAGCATTTTTTTTTTCCTTTCTTGAGATATCGCATGATAGCTTGCAGCAAGAGAAGGCCGTCTTGCGAAAGATTTCTGTGCCACACTCAGGAAACATCTGGAGAAGAGGGAGATGAAATAAAATACAGAAACCAGGCTTGTTACTTCAAACTTCAAAGGCAGAGCTCAAACTAAGATCCAAGACTTACAGTATGCCAGTGAAACAGGAATGTGGAAATAATTTTAGATGAAATCAAAGAACTCACAGCTTGCAGGTTGCTCCCCGAATCGTCGCATTAGCTGATCATGTGTGAACTTCACAAAGGTGTCATATTGTTCTGAAAGAGAGTACACGGCAGGAAATCAGAACGGCTGTTGTTGTACAAGTAAAGGACAATGTGAATTACCCTTTGATCTCGTCATTTCCCCAGTGACTTATCTTTTAACTGTGGTACAAATTACACACACACTTATTACATATTTTACTAATATTACTTCTCTCTCTCTCTATTCAGGAATCAATCTAGTCCCACATTCAAATAAGGCCTTTTGAAGTAAAAACCAGCTCCTTTCTAGCACTGCTTAGTACAACAAGCTCTGAATCACACAGAATCACACTGATGCTTATTAGTGCTGAAAAAACTGGTCGATCAATTGGTTGACTGACAGAAATCTTATGACAAGTCTGATAATTGTAATCCAGAGGGTTCGTTTGCAGTTAAATGATGAATTTAGTATGTTATTCGTGTTTGCCAATCCAAATAAAACCCGACTATTTTAGCGCGGAGAAGATAAGTCACTAAACGGAAAATTGCGCGACAATCACCAATTGCTGGTTCTAGCGTTACAAACATGAAGATTCGCTGGTTTTGCCCTGTGTTATGTCAATGCAACTCCAATATCTTTAGCTCTCGGCTCGTGTATAGTAAGCATGCTCGCTGAATGTGCACAAACCTGCCAATTTCGAAGTCATGGTCTCCTCATATTCCTCCCGCACCTTCTCTTCCCTTTCTTTCAGCAGGCGTTCACAGATCATTCCAACTTGTCTGAGGGTGAATAATGGCTGTTCTTTTCTAGTAGGAGAAATGCCTCCAGAGGACGTTCCTGTACAAATCAAACAAGGAGCCTGAGAACCGAGGCGCGTGTGGTATTTCTCATTCACAGGTACATGTCACAGTAATTCTGGAGAAGCCCCCCCCCCACAGGTAGCGTGTTGCTCAACCAACCTGGCATGCTGGAAACATTCATAGTAGACGACTGGGATGGGGACTCTGGAGAATAGCAGCACTCTGACTGTTGGTAGCCTCCATCTAGATGCTTCCTCTTTTGTATGCGTTTGTACTCCTGCTTGATGCTGTTGAGGATTTGTTCTAGAGGAACAAAAGAAAGCACACACACAACACACAAAAAGGCAGAAAAGAGGCCTATTAGTGAAGACAACATGTTAAGAAGTCCTCAACCAAACTTTATCACTGAGGAGCGTGTTTTGTTTTCTGGTGTACTACAATGTGGTGTAACGTGTTGCTAATGCCTCTCGAGCCCCCGGCTGATCAGCAAGCAGGCCAGCTTGACCAACATTAGTGACATTACCTGCACTAAGTGTGGACGACGACTCCCCAAATGGCGAGGGCTCCATGCTTAGATACTTCCTAGGGGATGAGGAGGAGGAAGACGGGGTCACGGGGATGCATCTTCGTCGTTTAGGGGACGTAGGACTCATCAGCGGATCGAAATCCATGGTCCTCTTCAGGGTGGCTCCACACGCCATGACTTCAGTTTGTTAAAGGGAGGGAGAGAGAGGGGGGGGGGGGGTGCAAAATACCGAAACAAGACAATAATGAAGCAATAACATCGGTTATTTCACTTAACTGCTAACAATGGCTATTCTTCCACACGACCTGCTCACTACAGTGTGAATTGCTCCGCTGAACGCAGTTTCCTCCGCTGAGGAAGAACATGCTGAGCATACTGCGCAGCTGAGGCTTTAAATATGAGCTAGCGAGCTAACGTTAGCTCTGCTTGCTAGCTAATAATCAAAAAGAAAACAAAGCTAACGTTAGCTCCGGCTGCCGCTGATACAACAGTGCGCTCCGCTCTGCCTTTCAATAAAGCTGTTTCCTACCGTTTGGGGGGGGAAGTCGGTCTGTCCAACTAAGTGAAAACAACTCGTGTTGTTCTAAAAGTTGCTTCCCAAAAGTTGCAGTGACGATCCGCCGGCTGCGGGCCAACTGTCTGCTGTGAGACAGGGAGCGAGCTAACGCAACTTAGCTGCTTGTTTTTGATATGAGGCTGTCGGCTTCTCTGGCTCCTGACGTCACGTGTGAAATGCTTCCGCAGTGCATTCTGGGTTATGTAGTGAAACACAGGAAACTATAGGAAATGAAAGGTGGATGTCGTCCCAGTTATAGTCCACATAAATTGATAATCATTTTTTAATTTTTTTTTTTATTGAATTTGGTTACGTTATAGCTGCATTATACTAATCAGCAAAGTTGAGTCAGTCCATGAGAAATAATGGATAATATATGATGTCTCTTTTACATCCAGAGGAGGGCAGTGTTACACAAAAAGAAACAGACTGTTGACCTCGGTTTATAAAGCAGTAGCTCCCAAAAAGTCCAGGAGCCACAAAATGATTAAAACGGTAACAAATACATAACTATATTCATTTATTTTATATTTAAATCTAGAAGTATGTTCATTTCTTAATAGCTTTTGCCTTTTTGTTGAGAAACATATTGTCATCTCTTAAATGTCCTCAACTTATCCGTGATGAGGGGCTACAAGAAGACATAGCTTAGGGGCAGGCAAGCCAAAAAAAAAGTTAGGCCAATGGCTATAAACACAGTCTCACACACTTTTTAAACTTGAAAAGAAAAAATACACATCTCATGTCTAGTAAATTAACCACAAGGTGACGGATGGCTGAGATTTCATTGTTTTATTGAAAAAAAGAAACCAGATATGTTGACAAAATTATGATAAAAATAGACACATTTTATATATTTATTGAACTCATGTCCTTGCTTATACACACTGTTATGGGACACAATGGCACAATGAATGCAAAGTGTAGCTTCTCACAGAATGCTGTAACTGTTTCATAAGCACAGGTGTAATACGCAGCAACGTAACATTTCCAAATACCTACAGACTAAAGTTTTGATTCGATCAAAAAGCCATTCATATTTCAAAGTAAGACTCACCATTTTGCTTTGCAAAGTACATGTTTAGAAAATATTTACAATAAATAAAGTAAAATAACATTTCAACAATTCCAAATATCACAATATCATGGTCTTACAAAATCATTGATAGTTGATTTCAAATCACTAATGGGTTGCTAATTTTACTTAAAAGCAGTGTGTTGTCACTCAAAACTGACATTTTGCATGAAGGTAGACACAGTTTCACCTTGCATTACTGCCACAATATTGCTATGATATCATGTGGGAGGGAAAAAACAAAGAACAAAAAGGACGGACATAAGGCTGAAATCTGTAACGTTATGCACATTCAAACTACAGCAAAGTTGACAGTGCACAGTGTTGTGTTTGTAATGGTTGCTGCAGGAAAAAAATGCCCTTGAGCCAACGAGTTTTGTGAATGCGACTATTATTTACTGAAACCATTTGTTAATAACAGAATAAACAGAGCTTGTTCTTCCAAAAAAACATATCATCACACACCACCATATTATTACATGGAATAATAATACAGATTTCAGCTTTAAAGCAACAGAAACATGTTTTTCAGTTCTGTATCTAGGTCATTTTTTGGCACATTTCACAGTAACAGAGCAGTGTACTAGGAGGGTTGGGGCTATTCTACATTATTTTTACTTCACAGTTGCACCAGAGCAGGGCAGCTGGTCTCTTAGACCGGCTCTGCAGTGGAAGTCTCCGTCACCCCAGAAACGGTAACCTGGGCTACTTTTACACGAGTTTTTCCGCAGGCAGCTCCATCTTTCCCCGCCACACCCACTGTGCCTCTCACACTCCTGCTGTTCCAGTCGCTCTCAGCGCTGTTGTCCAGAGGCTGCGTCGACCCCCGGCACATATGGCAGATGTTGAGGAAGGCCCTGCGCAGGTCCTTGCTCCTCATGGCGTAGATGACAGGGTTCACGGTGGAGTTGAGCAGGCAGAGCATGCTGCAAAAGGCAAACACAGTCTTGATGAAGTCGTTCACCTTCCCAAAGAGGTCGTAAACCATGATGGCTAGAAGTGGGCCCCAGCAGATTATTAGGGCCACCAGGATCAGAACCAGGGTTTTAGCCAGACGGAGGTCCATCCTGGCCTGTTCGGGCCTCACCGTCTGCACTTTGTTCCCCTCTGCAGTGTAGACAATCACACTCCTCTGGGAGGTGCGGCTCAGCATGCGGACAGCATGGTGGTGGGACTTCCAGAGGATGAACATGTAGGCGTAGATGATGAACAGGACCAAGATAATCGTCATTCCAATCCAGAACATCAGGTACTTCTCGTCGATTAGTGGGAAAATGTCAGAGCACACAGAGTTGAGACGCTTGCAGTTCCACCCCAGCAGCGGCAGCAGTGAGAAGACAATGGAGATGGTCCACATCACACTGAAGGCAATGACTGCTTTAGTCTTTGTCACAATGCGTTTGTACGCCATAGGCCTGTGGATGGAGATGTAGCGGTCGATCGCAGTGAGAAACAAACTGCCAACAGAGGCAGTGAAGGATGCGATGACCCCGGCCAGCTTGAAAAGGAAAATATTGGGGCTGTCCTTCCTGTGGAGGACGTGAAAGTCCAGGAAGCTGTAGACAAAAATGATGCTTCCAATCAGATCAGCCACAGCCAGGCTGCCTATGAAGTGATAGGAAGGCCGAGATCGAAGCGTCTGGGAGTGTAGGATCACACACAGCACCATGAGGTTCTCCAGCACCGTAAACGTACCCAGGGTGAGTGCCAAGATGGCCACTGCGAGCTGCTGACCAGGAGTTAGGATCATAAAACACTCCATGTTGTCCACAAAGTCCTCCCCGCACTGAACCGCCCCGCTGCTCTCCACAGCGGTGCCATTACCCAGCAGAAAGTCTGTCACGTTGGTGGGGAAAATTGGAGCGAGGCCGCTGTAGAGGACCTCCTTATTTCCAGGGGCGAGTGCAGAGTTACTATCCGAGGCAGAGTGAGGTTTCCCAAAGTGGAATCTGTTCTTGATTAGAGTCGAGTCAATGGAGGGGTCGTCGTAGCTGGCGTCGTTTGAGCCGAGATACTGGACACCTGTCGTCAGCGTGCTCATTGTGGTGCCTGCTATCCTGTGCAAAGCCAACTTCATGGCTGGTTTGTGGCTGTAGAGATGCTCAGTGGAGAGGTGTGTGGTGTGACAGCATTAGACCCATGTGAAAGGACATCTATGAAAGAAAAAAAAAAAGGATTTTTTTTCCCATAAAGAAAATGACATAATCTTGTTACATACAAATATATGAATGCATGAAGCAGCGTTAATGTTTATTAATGATTCATATGGTGGAAGAGGAATTTGTTGCTGGGAGATATTGGGGGAATCTGTGTATCAGCCAGCTGACTCCAGAGCAGATGCATCCCAGACAATAGTGGGAAACTGAACAGTTGATGACAAACCTGTGCAGCCTCGGGGGAAATCATTGCATTAAGTATGTAGGACAAGCAGACTTTCTTATTAATTAAAGGAGGTCATTAAGCATTAAGCTGTTTTCTTTTCTCAATAATCACTGGATTAATTAGGCATCAAGGGAGAAACAAGATAAAGGGTGTACATATCTGTCCAATGATCCATGTTTAATTTCTGATGCTAGTAATGATGATTTTAATAATTAACAGTCAAGTTAACATGAAGGTTTTGTAATAAGACATTTAAAGAGGACACACAGTGCTGGCTAACAATTAAACATGACATGACCCGTTGCGAATGAGATACGGTTAAGTTTGAGAGCAAAAAAAAATGTCTAAAACCAGTTTGGATCAAAGATTGGGCGCTAATACTCACATTAAAGAAAAGAAAATAACACAAATGACCATGGTGATAAACGATTAGAACAATAATAAAAGCAGAAAAAAATAATCAAATACCTGAAATAAAAAGAATGTTCAAAAAAAAAAATCAAATACCTTGATTTTCTCAGCCTCAGCAGCATCTTGCCCCGATCCATGCCGGGAAAAAAAACAAAAAACAAATAAACTGGGAGTAAACCAGTCTGTTGTGGTTGTCTCCACTCTCTCCACCAACAGTTACAGCAACTCCAAAAGAGGATCTGGAAGCCGGTGTGAAATTATAATTGTTGTTGTTTTGATGATTTGCCGGGGGAATAACCGTGTGTTGACTCCCCAGACTCTGTCAGTGTCAAATAACAGCAGACTTGCAGCCGGTGCGCACTGTGTGCACTGTGTGTGTTTGAGGGAGCGGTGCGGTTATGAGGCTGCTTTTTGTGCGCCTGGTCACGTGGTCTGAGGTGTTTGAGCGCAGTAGGAAGTGCATCCCTGAGCATCATCCACATCTATTTATACAGGAGCAAAACTGCTGCTGCAGGCAACACATGAAAACCAGCCTCAAGCCCATGTGTGTTTTTTGCCTTCTGATCTGGTTTAAAACCAATGTGTAGAAAAATATTTAGGTGGTAACCCTTACATTTGCCACAAACTGGGCATTTATCATAAATCATTGTTGTTTTTTTTACACCAAATATGGAAAAAAGGTTCAAGGTTCCGCTTTATTGTCATTACAATACAGGATTGCATAATGAAACGCAGCTGTAGCACCTTTCCTGCAACATACACAGAAAATATACAAACAGATGCTCCAATATTTAAATGAAAATAAAAACAAAAGGCATTAAAAGAGAACAAAACATATAAATGGCAAAATACATATATTATCATTTATTGTTTTTAATGCGCCTTTTTTAACTATTATTTTGATATAATTTTACTTTTTTTTTTACTATTATTGTGCTGTGTACTTTAATTTGTACAGCTAACTCTGGTTGTTTTAAACTGCTATATAAGCTTTATAAATAAACTTGACTTAACATGACTTTATAAATATAGTTCTAAAGCAAGGAATAATAAGAAGAACTAAATTATATTTACAAGGAGGACACACAGGCACATTCATGTTTTGGGTCAATTACACACCAAAGAAGTCAATTTTCTGAAATTAATATGGATAAATATTATCTTGTGAGAGGTAGTGCTGCATAAAAAGTACTGTCAACACCAATCATTTCAGACTATTGATATCACAGCAAACCAACAATCCCCTTTTGGACAGTGGTGGAGAACAACTAAGTACATTTACTCAAGTACTGTACTTAAGTACAATTTTGTGGTACTTATTAATGTGTTCAGTAATCAAGTAATATGGAATATCACTCTGAAAGAACCATTCTGCATAATGAGATAGCTAAAGTGAATACGTAATGTATTGCTGATATTTATATGTATTAAGTTCAGTAAAATATTGCATGCAGGACTTTTACTTGTAACACAATATTTTACATTGTAGTATTGCTACAACTTACTTACCGCTGCTTTTGGAAAATGAATGTTAGCGTAATCTCCTGCTGACAGTAACAATAAAATAAAATAAAAAGACACCATATAATGAAATTTTTGTGCAATTTTAAAGTCATCGTGTTACTAAAAGTCCATTCTGAATATCCTCCATTTATCTATTTTTTTTACTGCAGTTGGGGGTCACATGCACACCCTATTTAGAGTCCCTTTTCCTGTCCTGCGCAGCTGCGCAATTATTTCCACTATGCACTCCCAGCAGAGCTATCTCCCAAATTACATGTATCTTGTTGTGGAAAATACATGACATTTGGCGATGCAACATCATGAGAAAACAATGAAAGGCATTGCGCATGATGCCAGTGCCTCCAGTTCTGGCAGAACAGAAGAGGCTGAGGAGTCATCCAACTAATTACTGAACACTTGTTATGCCGTGCTTGAAGCAGATTCAAGCAGCCATTGATCACTTGTGGTTGAACAGTAAATCCAATATGTATGTTTTTATGAAGATAATTTACACAGGCAGACAGTATAAGTGAAACATCTTATTGATGACTGTTGATTGTGAAATCCCTTTATAATTAACATATGTAAAGTGACTGTTGCATTCCTCTTCATCAGGATGAAGTTTTACTGTGGGTTTGGCTTGAAAGCAGCATCAGTCATCTCTCAAAGCAGGGGGCAGACTAATCGACAATCCACATCCATCATAATAATTATCATCAATATTTCAGTGTCATTCTCACCAAAGCATCAGTGAAAGAGACAAAGCTGTCTGCGATGACAAAAGGCATCTATACGACTGTAACAGCGACTTGTCAATTTTTCTAAATCCTCTTCCACCATGTGGGCCGTGCAGTTATGGGAGGCTGCTGCTATTGTTTCACGCCCATCTGTCTTTGGTGGGGAATATTGCTTGTGATTTACAGTGATTGATTCTTAGCAGGATTCCTCATGCAAAAGCATCATAATGCATCTCATTTAATATTGATCCTTTTCCGTTTACCATCAGTTGCTATATGAGTGGCTGCCTACATTCATCGCTTTCAGTCCACACAGGCTTCAGATCTTCCTAAATAGACACATTCAAGCAATACATGCAACAACATGGGAATTAAAGGGCTTTTTTATTAGATGACATAAGACCATTCTAAGGGGGTAATTTTGTGAGAGCAAGAAACATTTTCAGGCTCAAAATGTTGTTGTTACACACACAGCACATTGCAAGACGAGACTCTAAAGCAGGCTGTCTCTGATGTGTTTGTGTCAAGGGGTTGGAAAATGGGAGAGAGTGGGGAGAGAGTGGGGTGGGAGGAAGGGAGGGGTGACGAGGAGAAGATGCATAAATAGAGAAGGGGAGGAGGTTGTGGCTGAACACTGACAGCTCTTAACAGTTTCCTAATCTGCCACTTCTATATTCTGTTCCTCCCCAGCTGGAGACACTTCATGTTGTAGCCAAGGTGGCACAGCAGAATGAGGCCGTGTTCAATTCAAATTAGTTCAGCGAGAAGAAAAAGCCCAAATATAATGTTTACAAAATTTATTCAATATCATTTTACGTGTTTCTCCAATCTCAGTCACACACATCATCACCTATCATTAGCTGTGAGCTGCCTGCATCCTCATTATTCACTTCATCAAACGATTATATGTATCAACCTGGCTTCATTAGGCAAATCAAAGGTGTTTGTTGATCCATTTCCAGAGAGGTTTAATTGAACAAACAACTCCACACCCAGGAAACATCATCAGAGAAATAAACAGGGAGAAGTAAAGTGTGGAAGTTCCCCATCACGTTTCTCTCCTGCATCAGATTTTCAGGACAGATCTTCCTCGCAGGGAGTAACACCACAGCAGAGAGGATGACAAAGTTGTGACTAAATGCCTTCTGTGACTGAATTTCTTTCTGGATAGAAGACTCTCTCTATCAAACCATCAAAACATACAGATATAAAAAGACAGACTGACTCTTTTTTTTCAACAGTTGAAATAAATTAAACTATTAATGTATTTCAATGCACTTCTTTTATTTTTCATGAACAATTTAAGCAAGTTAAACAGTTTCAATGTCCACTTTGAAAATGGTGTTTTTTCTTGCTGCAGAATAGACAGAATAAAAGCGTAATGGTCAGTGGGTACAATCCCCTTCATGCACCATTTAGTCATCTAAAGACCTTTTTTATCTCTGCAGAACACAGTGGTAATCACAAAGACTTAACCGGTGGTTCAGTGAATGCTCACTTGTGCAAACACTATGCAAATGAACGCTACAGGCACAGATGAATTACTCAGACAGCAGCGTAGAGCTGCAAATTACAGCTTAGTTGAATTGTTTCTCTTAGTGTTACTCCTCATGGTTTTCAGGTGATATGGTACCTACAGCAGTAGCCCTGTGGCCTCAGAAGAACCAGCGACCCAGAACAGCGATGATCTGGAATCGCCTTGCAGTGATTCAGAGCCAGATAGTAATTAATTTGCTCTACACCCAGCTGCAGAGCTGCAGAGACTGACGAGAACCCCAAATGGACCTGACTACCATGAGACTAACAGTCACCTGTAATCACATGGCAATTTTCTGTCAGGAAGAAGAGGAGTTGTGAAATTGAATTTATTTTTAGCTGTTCACCTCCTTTTTTTACGTTGTGCTAAAATTCAGTGTTTGCAGTACTTTTACACAAGTATGTGGAAAGTATTTTCATAATATGTCTCCACTTTGGACATATTATTAACAACTGTCAGTTGTTGTTAATGATTCAAAATTGGAAAAAGATCCCTTATTGTTGGAGA